CTCCACATCAGAAGGAAAATGTCTTGCAAGGTCTATTTATACTTTTTTTGAATAAAAAGCAACAATAAACTAAAGATTAGTTTTGCTTTTCAGTGCATGTATTTTACATTCACACTATTACCACATTTACAGTTATGGCTTTATCTATTTATGTTATAGGTAAAGTCCGCTTTTTGGAAAGAAATAATAAATGCGCAGTTCTTCATAAAAGAAAAAATAGCTTAGCTGTTAAGTGATTGCGTTATTCTGACTCCGACTGTTGTATTAGCGATTTAACCCTTGCTGAGACCTCTATGCCTGGCCTGTATAAGCAAATATAATCACTGCGGACAATCCTTATCAGATAGCTGAACCCACCAAATACCTTTTCTTCCACAAAGTACTTTATTCCGTGCAGCAGGTGAACGAATTGGCGGCAGTGGCATAACAATCGCCATAGCAACCAAGGCGGCCGCTATGGGGCACCGGGGGGCCCAGCCAGGGCCGCCTGGGTCGCTATGGCATGTAAGGGTGCTGGCTGTCACTGACACAGCTCAGCAGCGGCCGCGGCACATTTCCCCTCAAATCCCCATAGAAAATTTTGCTATGGGGCCCTGTGATTTCTAGTTACGCCCCTGATTGGCGGTATTTGAGGCGGTCATAGATAAGAATGTTTACAAGCATGCAATGCAGATTAACATGTGGTCCTGTTACAAGTAGCCATGGCACTGAGCAAGAAGGGGGAAATACATCATAGATAAGAGGGAACACAGAAAACATGTGCAATAACTAGAATGGCCACAAGAAGTCAGTATATAAACTTAGCCATACAATAGCAATAAGTAAATGGCTTAAAGTGACATTAAACCCTCAGATTTTTTAACATAAAACAATACTGTAATGTGCGCCTTACTGTAATCCATGGTTGTTTCCCTTCTCTTTGCTGCTCTTCCTTTTAAATCTGTATCTGTTCTCATGCTTGGGGAGAACTTCTGTTTTGCAGCAGATTGCCTTGTCTCTGGAATGGATACATGGTGTCTGTGTATAGGTTCACAACCTGAGCCAGCACTACAGGAAGAGGCACTTAGCTGCAAAGGGAAGTTCTCCCCCAGCATGAGAAGAGATACAGATTTAAAAGGAAGAGCAGCAAAGAGAAGGGAAACTACCATGGATTACAGTAAGGCACACATTACAGTATTGGTTTATGTTAAAAAATCTGAGGGTTTAATGTCACTTTAAGGAAAATAAACTATATATATTCTCATCTAACATCTGTATGAATAGTTAATATGGCTATGGATTGTCATATTCAATGCAACCACTGTGGCAGCACAGTCGTTATACAAATTAAAGGGTATTTCCACTATTGTAGCCACATTGGGATAACACCGACTTTGCATTTGTTGCCAATTACATAGCACAACTTTAAAAAAAAATTATTTACAAATTGCAGTTTACTTTTTTTAGATGCTCTTTCTGCAAACCCCAGGACATTCCTGCTTAGTTCTCTCTGTCTGAGCGGACTGGGGAAGTTTTGTCTCAAATAACTGATCCTGTCTGTACTGTGCTGGCTGATTTCATTATCACTTACTTGTAAACTAGGCGAGCAGGGCTGTCTGTCCTAAGAAAGGGTTAAACATCTTATGACATTGTATGTCAATGCACTTTAAAAAAAAAACTGTCCCTCAGTCTGTCCCCTTACCAGCTCACTGCCATCTATTCTAAGCCCTAGAAGCTGCCTGTAGTGTCATATGTATAACCCTGCTCCAAAAAAACAGCAAAATAATGGTAAGAAATCTTTTTATTATTATTATTTGTATGCATGCTGTGTGAATGGGAACACATAGCAAACACATAATGGGAGTTTCTGAAATTTGGCTGCAGGAGCGAAAATACACTTCAGCTGCTTGTCGTCCGCCTGTTGTAATTAAACGGCTGGTTGGCTCACACTTGAGGACGAGTGGTATTTTCCCGCTCATGTGCTATAAACATTTGTGTAAACTGTAAACATTTGTTACAATGGCTGCTACATACAACAAATGTTTGTTACATAGCCGGGATGCACCGATACCATTTTTTCGGTATAGTGCAAGTAACGATATTTATTTTTTGGGGGGGGGGCATGTATGAAGGAAGCCGGGTGGCATGTAATGATTCGACCGCCTAGCTTCCTGATTGGCCATCTTCCTGACCTCACCACCTGGCTTCGTTATACCGGAAGTTCCAGCATCGGGAGCATTTGGGGCGAGTACTCGTACCGGCACCGATACTGATACTAGTATCGGTATTGGTGCATCCCTATTGCATACAAACGTTCAGGAGGCCATGGAGCCGACCAATCACTTGTACGGTGCTGGGCAAGTGTGTGTGCATGTCCCCCCTGCCACAGGGCCGGTGCTAGGATTCTAGGCAAGGTGGGCAAGGTGCATTTTTGCGCCCCATCCCCCCCCCGATACCGACAACGACCCTCGCGGCACCTCAGGCAGTCGCCGGCCAGCTAAATTAGGACCCCACCTGGAGCTCCTCCCACCGGACCAGCGCTGGCTTGCCGCTGCTCTCCCGCGCCGCTCGCCGCTGCTCTCCTGCACCGAAGGTAAGTGAAAAAAAAAACATAGCGCAAACATTCGAGGCATTTTGACAAGTACATTACTTGTCAAAATGCCCTGTTTTTTCCGCCCTCACCCTGCAGCGCCATAAGGCGGCCGCCTGACTTGCCTTGCGGTAGCGCCGGGCCTGCCCTGCCACCACTGCCGGCAATCCCAGGCTCCGCTGTCCCCGTGCGGACAAGATCAGCACACTTCCAGTGACCGATCTCTCCTCCAGTTACTTAAAGCGTAAGCGACGTGTATTACATAAATTCTGGTTTCAGAGTGTAATTTCTGTGGTTGCTGTAGCCAGAGAAGAAGCTGGTGAAGCAGATCTCTGCTACATCAGCTTCTTTGGGGGTTCCTAAGTGACATTAGGGGTCTAATAGGCCCCTAATGTCTCCATAAAGAGAACATGTCACTGTATCTGTGCTGTCACATAGGGGGCTTGTGATAGCAATAAAGTTAACTGTAAAAAAAATTATAGTCACACATACAAAAATTGTAAAAAACTAAAAAAGTTTTTTAAAGTCCTCCACGTGCACATACATACACATGCAAACACGCATCGGGTGTGCCTATGTGCAAAAACCATGATTGCACATACACGTTACATATCACTGTGAACGTCAGAGTGCAAGCAATAATCCTAGGGCTATCAATCACTGTAAACACTGAACTGATGATCAGTAAAAGCTTTTAAAGCATCCTATGGACAATTTTGGGTATAGTAGCTTTTTGCCATGTCACAGGCGTATGCAATTTTAAGGCTTGACATGTTTGGTATCTATTTACCCGATGTGACCCCGTCTTTTATATTTTACCAAAGAATTGGGTAATAATAAATGTTTCCTAACATAACGTAGGGAAACATTTTTTTTTACATTTGTCATTATATAGTAAAAAATAAAAAAAACCCCAGTGGTGATTAAATACCAGCAAAAGAAAGCTCTATGTGTCCCCAAAAATTACATAAAATTAATTTCAGTACAGCGTTGCATGACGGAATAAATGTCAGTCAAAGTACCGCATCGCTGAATACTGATAAATGCCCGGGACAGGAAGAGGGTTTAACATCCCGGTCAGCAAGTGGTTAATGTTTCTTTGTGTACCGGACAAGATAAAAGTAAGGTATATAAAAGATTATTTTTAAATATATTAGGAGATGTTTTAGATTAAGTGAAGGAACTAAAAGGACTTTAAACTTGATGTCACATAATTAGCCCTCTTTTTCTTTTACCTGTGTTTGGATTATTATTATTTTTTAATTTTTTACCATCTTGTCTTGATTTGTATTGTAACTGTAATGTCTTCCTTATATTGTAATGTGCTGCACAAACTGTTGGTGCTATATAAATCCTGTATAATAATAATAATAATTATTATTATTATTATTATAATTATTATCCCTCTTGATTTGTTTCGCTTTATCTAACCATCAAATATTAATCCGTCTTCTCTATATAATTTGTTGAAATGTTTAAAATCAGTTGAAACCTTTACTAAAGCCTTGAACAAGTAAAATGTAGCAATTCTTCTGATGGAAAAAACTTTCAAAGGGTGGTGAAAAGCGTCTCACCATCTTATTTTAAAATATTTCAACAAGTGGGCTGCTCTCAGTACTGTTTAATATCAGATCCTTGAACTGTACGCAGTTAATAAAATCTAAACAAATACACTACTCATAAGAGACATTAACATAAATCTATATACACATTCCGATAACCAAATACAATCAACTGTCAGAAAATTATAAAGTAAAAGTAGAGTGATGGGATACAGCCAATCTCTTACAATAAAACACAGAAATATAATGCTTTTAAACCCCAGCCCACACGTGCACCCACTCGAAACACCCTAAACTGCATATTTATCCATGAGCAATTCCAACAAGTAGTTCTACTATAGAGTCTCAATAATCTCAGATAATCTGCTGCAATGAGACTTTATAGTAGATCTGCTGGTTGCCATAGAACATGGACGTGGTGTATGGGTATACATTGAACCTAAGTCTATGTGAGGGATATTTGAGGGCTGTGTGAGTCTAGTGTTCTGTATGATAACACCAAATACATAAGGACATAAGGTGCTCCTGCACTCACAGTATTCACAAACATAAAACTTCTACAGTGATGTCTGTCTTCTATATGGTATGTCATATCTACTGTAAAATGGAAAAAAGAATGTACTAAAACATTATTCTCCTGCATGGTACAATCATTTCTCATCATCTCATGTCATCATCAATTACCATTCATGCACTATTATCAAAAGTCTGCATTTTTATGGATGAACCTGTATGCCCCCCAAAAATTGCACATTGAGTGGTCCACGGCCATGTGCGGTAGTGATCCCTTTAATCTGTTGCATTGTGTCCCTGGAACGATCTGAAATGATTGGCAGCTAGGATTAGAAGGAGCAAGAACATGGTCTTACCTTGTGAGCTCTTCCTGCAGTAATGTCCTTTACCAAGATAGACTATGGTCTGTGTCTTGTGTCAGCCCGGATGAGAGGGACCATGCGATATCCATCTCATTGAAAAGCTTCCAGGTTTTGCCCTGCAGTCGGTGTCTGCGTCATGGGAAGACAGGGTTAATAAGGCACAGTGCAGGCTGTTTTCTGTCAACTTTTATCACATCCATCTCTGCACAGTTAAGAATGAGGAGAGAGGTATACAGAGGGCTGTGAGTCACTGTATTTGTTTTCCTCTGTGTGCTTTCCTAAAGGAGCTGACAAGCTCATCTCTTTCTTTTTTTTTTATGCCCGAGGGTGACAGAAGAGGATGGGAAATGTCCATATAGAAAAGGACAAATGTCTGTTTTATATCGGGATGAAGATATCAAATATACTTCTCTGCCAGAAGATCTTTGGCAGTTTGTTGGGAGACCCTAGTGGAACAACTGTGTTGGTTTTAGGGGCTACAACCGAAATTTTACCTGAAACGTGTTTTCTTAGAAAAATGTATGGGAACTCCTTTTGCTCTGGATATGTCTCCAACTGGTGGGTAGCCATTCCCCACCTCTGTCTTCTCTGTTTCCAAGAACCACCCGCACTCCTTACGGTCTGCAACCTTCCAATGGTGGTGGTGCTCTGGTGATCACACAGATGGGGGGTGAGGTCACTATGTTGCTCTGATGAAGGGTCCCTGCGAGGTCCCGAAACGCTAGCTTCAGCTTCTAATGACATTCTTTAATGAACATATCCAAGAGATATTGTATTCATGTGTGTGTGTGCCAGTGACCTGTTGAGACTATTCCAATCCCACCTCTGTCTTATGGTGCCCCCTATTCCCCCACATCTGCTTCTTCTTCCTAAAACCCTTCATATGTCTCTTTGCTGCCATCTTGCACTATGTTGGGCTCCCCTTTGAGCCTGGTAGCCCCAAGAGATGTCTTCCCTTGGTATACCCAATGGGAAGCTTCTTCAACGATCTGTTGTACTGTCCCTTCTCCCCCCTTGGTTAGCTATTGAGATATTTCTTTTTTTTTTCCAAAGCAGTGGAAAGTATGAATAACCAGTATGCCTCTCATACTTGGCTACCTCACTTGATACTCACTGTATACTCCCTGGATACTTCTCTGGTTCTGTTGCTGTATTGCATTTCATAACACATTCTACCCATTGGTGTCTCATACTTTTTGATTTGGAGTGGGGAGAGTAGTTACTGTTTATGTAAGATAGAAACTTTTTTATATATCACTCGGCTGTAAATCCTCAAATCATCTCTGAATTGGTGCGGACACTGTCCTCCCTTCTGGAGGGTGGCTACTTTTGTTCCCCATGGTCCCTGTGTGTGTTGTAAAGTAGTCACCGCTCCAAGCTCGCTCCCGTGATGGACTACAATCTCATGTTTAGTTTACTAATTTGTATTGAGATTGTAGTCCATCACGGGAATGAGCTTGGAGCGGTGACTAATTTCCAACACACACAGGGACCATGGGGAACAAAAGTAGCCCCCCTCCAGAAGGAAGGACAGTGTCAACACCAATTCAGAGATGATTTGAGGATTGATAGCTGAGTGATACACAAATAAGATACATTATTTTAATAGGTAAATTGCTTGAATGTATTTTTAAGATTTAACTCCTGAGTTTAGTGTCATTTTAATCCAATAAAGTAGATGCAGGTGATTGCAAGCTCTTCTTCCAGCAGTCCTTGGTAATAAATAAAATGGAATTAGCCTTAATTGGCTTTTAATGGGAGTAGGACATTATCTACATAAAGTGGGGTGTGAAAATTGACAACTTTGCTTGGGTGCTTAATTACTGTACTTTGGCCAGGGCCACCATTATAAATCATGGGGCCCCATAGCTAGGCCCTCCCCCCAGCTGCCAATGGCATGCTGTTACTTGTGGTCCCCCCACAGTCTCACACTATTGTTATACATTTATATCACTCTGACATATACCACAGTGCTGTACAGAGAACACTGAACCAGTCACATTAGTTTCTCTACAGAGGAACTGGCAAACAAATGCAGAATGGCACCGGCTGTAGGGTGGCTACAAATCCTTGCAATACATTATACAGCAATGCAGAACAGTATATGAATTGGACTCAGGACTTAGTAATGCACTGGACTCAGGACTTAGTAATGCACTGGACCCTGGATGTACCTGTGGCCCCGCAGAGCCTATCTGAGATCCTGCAGAGCCCACCTGAGACCCCTGCACAGCTCTTCTGAGACTCTCTATGGTGGGCTCTGCAGGGTCTCAGGTGGGCTGGTCAGGGTTTCTTTCCCTGCACATGCAGCTCCTCTTACCTGCTGCTTGGCCCCAGCATCCTCCCCCTGCCGGACTGGCCCTACTGGGCCCCGGCCTCCTCCGCCCCTGGACCGGCACTGCTAGGGCCCACCCTTCCTCCACCGCCAGACCGGTGCTGCTTGGCCCTAGCCTCCGCAACCCCCACCTCTTCCACCCCCGAGGCTGCCCAGGCCCCTTACATGAGTATCGGCTGTACCCCCTCTGATGACGGCCCTGACTTTAGTATTACACTTTCAATAGCAGATATGATGATGGTCTCTTTTTCAGCAAAGCTATTCCAACATCGAATAAACTTATCAGCAATGCTGAAGGCATCATATTGTGTATGACTCTGTTCCTAGGTCAAAAAAAGCAAATGTGCTGTTGGTTTCTACATAATACGCCTGCAGCATTTACTTGTTCAGGACATACGGTTTACCTAATTAGATTATAGTAATGACGCAGTTAATTGGACCACTCTGTACAGCGTGAGCACAGTGACCAATATCTCATATTGTGACACCAGCACCTTATCTCTGATCTGTCTGCTTTCCTAGTGATTCACCTGACACTCACGCTTAAAGTGAATTCTAATTTCCTGCTCCTGTTTATTACTGTTTGTCGTAGATATTACAGCACTGTGATCCTCACTTCCTATGATATATGGATTTAGTAGGTCGGACTCATAAAGATATCAGGAATGTTTACTTGTTCTGTGTCTATTCATATCTGAAGCCAGAAAGACAATGATAAGTGTTTATTCTAGCTTGTTATATACTGTATACATTACTTCCTTGTACCATTATTTGTTTACGCAAAAAAGACTGTTGCCTTACAATGGACAACCATTGAACCCATAAAAATCTCCAACTGGAAAAGGGTTGTAAACCAAGTGCTAGATCTATACACATTGGCATACAAAGCCAGGGGCTGCCCTGCTAAATCGGAAAAAATCTGGTCAGACTGGGTTTACGCCACTAGTACTTGCGAATCTTGAAGAACCCCACTCTCAAAGGCGTGTGCATGGGGTGTGTTGGGTATGCCTGGGTACACCCTAATCATCCCGAGCGCCGGTGGCAGCTCTCACCCGAAGAGTTTAGTGTCACTTTAAGGCCCCGTTCACATGTAGCGGCGTATCGCGCGATATCGCGCATTTTTGCAGCGCGTTATCGCGAGAAGTCGCCGGCCAATGCTATTCAATGGAGCTGTCTTAACGCCATGTCGCGCGTCGCTCGTCGCGGTCGCAAGTTGCTTCTACCGGACCCTTTTTTCGGCGGATTTTGCTTTTTTCTATGGAGTCCGACGGAGAAGGTTGCGCTACCGTCGCTGGATCGTCGCTGGAACGTCGCCCCGAAAGTCGCGCTATCCCGGCCGCTGCAAAGGTATGTCGCTACATGTGAACGGGGTCTAAGGCTGCAATCGTGAAAATGGCCTGTGAGTGAGGTCTCCGAACTCCAGGACACAGGTTCAAGTCTTCATCTTGTCTCTGTTAGCCATGCCAAAGTACTGGATGAGTGTGAGCAGAGACTCAGATTGGCTGTCTCTACCTTAACAGCAAGTCAGAGCCCCTTCCTTAAGCAGAGCTTGTTCCCTTTCCACATATATTATAACGAACTGATGCTGCCAGTTTCAGAAAATGTGCACGTTTATTGTATATGATCATTTGGTTATCTAAAGATAGCTGCTCACATTGAAAAATTATTGCTTGTCTGATGAAAAATGTCCCTCAGCAGTTCTTTTTTAGTGTAGGGACCGTGCCATAGGCTGAATAGTTGTCCCTATTCTAAATTTTGTGTTGCTGTTAGGCTCCGTTCACATATAGCGTTTGTGTTTCCCGAGCCGTTTTCTGTGCGAAAGACCGCGCGGCATGAAAACACTAAAATCTTTCATCTGCACGGATGCTGCTCGTTTGTGGCTATTACTATTGCCGCAAACATGCGGATTCCGCCAACAAATCACGCTTGTACTATTTTGCGAGCTATACGATTTTGTACCACGCGGACGCTGCAAAAGTCTGAGCAATGCACATTAAAGTGCATTGTTTTTTGTGTTTAGAGCGGCTCTGGGTGTACTCGTACGGCCGAATACAACTGCTCCTGTGGGAATGGAGCCTTAGACAGCATGAGCGTAGATGTTTATAGTTCTGCTTTTGTTGGGTTTATCCTAAATTCCGGATATTATTTTACTTCTTGCTGTTGTCAGGGCGTGACCTTGGCAGATATTCAGAAGCAGATCTACTATAAAATGCAGCTATGGCATCCCACCCAGCTCCTGGCAACCAGCGATGTCACTAGTTGCCAGGATCTGTGCAGGACGCCTGCTAGAGTGTCCTACCCAGCTCCTGGCAACGAGTGACATTACTGGTTTCCAGGAGCTGGGTGGGATGCCTGCCAGAGTGAAAAAAAAGTCAGCACCTCTTCGGGTGGCGTGCAGGGCATGTGCCATATGTGCCATGCCCTGAAAAGGCCACTGCAGATAGTACGAGAAGAGATAATATTGTGAGTTACGAATATTTATATCTCTTTGGCAAATTACTGGAAAGTTTATTGCCAGCGGTATCTGCTGGGAAAGAATATTAAATATTTGGGGTGACCTTGGAGAGGGGCTTCCCTACCAGGGCCTATGCCTAGAGAGGATGTCAGTGTAAGAAGGTATTTTGCCTCCCACGCCTTCTACCTGGGGAGGGTCTTTGCTAAGAGTCTTTGCTGTGTCTTAGGGGCACAGAGGAATTTGCTGCCTTGCTGGAGGGAACATCCAGAAGGAGTGGAGGAGAATCATGACTGTATCAGTGGAGCATCTGAAGGAAAAACTTCACTGTTGAAGAGTGTCAGCTGGGTCTGGCTGCTCATCCAAGGGCCCCTTTCACACAGTCCGATCAGGAGGGGATCCGTACATGG